TCGTTTGTGCCCTTTTTGAGTGTCCGGCTTCGCAACGCAAGGTCCGTAAACCTCATTAAGCCATGTTTTAGGATCTTTCACACTCCCGATGAGTATGCAACATTGTTTCATCGTTTTTGTTCATTGTTTAGCACTAAGGCTAAGGAAAATCAAACACACGAATTTTCCAAGTGATGTTTTCTCATTAAAATAGTGAGACATACAGTATTTACTTAACACAAACCCGAATATACCAGGTTTAATTGAGTTGACCGGTTTGACTTGATAACTTTGTTCGACTTAGACTTGACCCGAATTTGACTATTGTCACACGGCGAGTTCAAGGCAATGTCCCAACCATATTAAGACGGACTTGGCGAGTCATAGACTGAACACCTTCTTGTGGATGAAGATGAACTCGACGAGTTCAAGGACGAACTCAGCGAGTCGGTTGAAGTTAGTCTGATGTGTTGTTGAAGGCGAACTCATCGAACTTTTGCCAGACTCGACGACTAGGGACGGGATTATGACATTTTGTGGAAATGGGGACTCGGCGAGTTAGTGGACCAACTCGGCGAGTCGACTCAACCAGATGTTGACTTTAACCAAGGTTTTGACTTTAACTTTGACTTGGATTTGAGTGACTCTTGTAATGGTTATGAGTATGAATTGATAACTTAGAAAAGTTGTCGTGTAGGGATTGAGGAGTCGGGGAGAGTTGAGATGATTGTCTTTGTGATAATTGTCTGATTTGCTATTACTTGATGTGTTCTATGTGCCAGTATGATATGTTCTATGTGATAGTGGTAGTAGGAGGGGAATAGTCAACTGATTCGGTCGTTAGGACCAAAGGGTAGGTCGGACACCCCAAATATGTCTGACAACATGTTTATAATATGTTATTATGTGATAGTAGTAGGGGTGAAATAGTCCCTGTGACCGGGTGAGATAGACCGGAGGGTAGGCTGGCACCCCAGAATGGCCTGATACAGGTAGGTCACCACCCCAGAATGGCTTGACATGGGTAGGACAGCACCCCATAATGGATTGACATGGGTAGGTCGGGCACCCCAAAATTGCCCGACAGTATGTATGATTTTATGGTATGTGGTATGATGGGGAAACTCACTAAGCTTCGTGTTCACGGTTTTTAGTTTTGGTTTTAGGTACCTCTTTAGCTAAGGGGAAAGAGGTGGCAGGGTAGCAGCGCATCCCACACACATGATTTCTGCTTTTAGAACACTAGGATTGTACTCTGACATTTTACTATTTGATGATATGGTTTTCGAGACTTGTGATTTGTGACTTGATGTTTGAAATGACAACAACAATGTTTTCCGTAAACTATTTTCATAAGTAATATAATTAAGCAAAAGATTTAGGGTCTCGATCTTGGGATGTTACAGTTGGACCCTATTTAAGCTCCTTATCTCATAACCTAACCCTAATATCTTTAGCCTCCATCCCTCTAAACCCTAGAAATCGATACTTATCCCCCATTTGAGTGATTTTAGAGATTCAAAGTGATTTATGTGTGTTTTGGTGCTTAAGGAGGAAGAAGGAACTTCTTGAAGAGTCATTGTTTGACTTGGAGCTTTTGGATCTAGGCTTTGTGCATGTAGATCTATCTAATCTAGGTATAAATCTCAACCTTGACAACTCTTTCTTGTATATCTAGCTAGGTGGCACTTTGTTATGATTTTGGTCCCATTGTGGTGGTTCTTATGAGTAGACGTTACTCCAGAACCTTTGAACTTCATATTTGGCCTTTGTTGGGGTTATGGAGTCATAAAGTTTGGATCTTGATGAGTATAAACCTTCCATGCATGATTTGGTAGTCTTTTGGTGAAGCTTGGGACTTAGGGTTTCGATTTGGATCCCATTAGGTCATGCTAAGTCATAAAGTCAGGAACTTTATGACTTAAGAACTCCCTTTGAATTAGATATGGAAGTTTGGACTAACTTCTTAAGGTATTAAGAGGGTTTTAAGACATTTTGGAGTGATTTTGACCTTTGGAATTCATCTTTGATGTTTAGGATTCATTAAGCCATGCAAAGGCTTAAAGCATTCGACTTATGGATCAAGTCACGTATATTTAGCTATTATGAGGTTTTAGACGTCTTGGCTTAATGGATTAAGAGTTAGAACTGAGAGTTGGTCAAACAGGAGGAGTACGTTGGGCATACAAGCCTGTACGCGTATCGTACAAGCTCTTAAGATAGTATGCTTAGCATACAAGCTGCGTACACCTCGCGTACTCATCAGAGTGGGATTTCAGTTTTTAGGCTTCGGTTTGGGCCATCTTTTGGGCTTTGTTGTTTTGGGCCATCAGGTTTTGGGTTGGTATTTATTTGTGGAGCCCCACTACGAATTTGGGCCTAATTTGGAAATTTGGGCCATGAATTGGGCCTTGGGTAGTTTTTGGTATTTAGGCCTTGTGGACTATTAGGTTTGGGCCTAAGTCTTGGTCCAAAAGTAAGTGAGGGGTAAATTGGTCATTTACCCAAGTAATGAATTTACGGTTATGGATTGGAACCTAATTGTTGATTAGGTGTTGTTTTAACTTCAATAGTTCATGGATCGATCAACCAACAACCATGGATTTTCTATTTGATTCGGTAGTGCGAGGTGAGTCTTCTCACTATATCCATGGGTCGAAGGCACCATGCCGACCCATTATGTGTTATGTGTTATGCTAGTTGTCTCTTTGATACTTTCATGGAAGATTCTGGAGGTAGCCCTTGACACTTGGATATTAGACCATGTGGGGAGCCCATGACATTCCAGGTAAAGACCATGGGGGTGCCTATGACATTCCAAATAAAGACCAGGGGGGAGGCATGGAAACTATATGTATGTTGCATGATAATATATGGTTGTATGTTGTATGCTATTTTGGGGAACTCGCTAAGCTTTGTGCTTACGGTCTTCAGTTTATGTTTCAAGTACTTTGGTTTTCAAATGAGAGGGCTTGGGATGATTGCAGTGCGCACATCCCATGTTTCTGCATTATGTGAGATACTCTGATTTAAAGATGTTTTGCTAAGCCCCAGTTACCTTGGTTTTATGGGAAAGCTATGCATTACGATTAATTAATCTAAAAACAATTTTTTTATGTCATGATTTTCAGGATGTTACACTCCCTTCCTCTGTCTTCAGTGCTCAAAAGACTATTGGAAGCTTTTCCAGCACTCCGTCTGGATAAATCCTCACCAAGGATTAAATTGTAAATGCCTTCGAATGTCAGCTTAGCACCCCCAACTGAGCAGCTAACCGTTGTCAATGTACCAGACCAAATATGATGCACATATGATAATAGTAGCAATGTCATGGCTTCATCTTCATATTTAATCTCATTCAACATCAACCTTGATATGATTGATTTAATTTCATTAACATGATCAGTCATCGAGCCACCCTCCTTCATCTTCAAATTTACTAATTGTCAAATCAGGAGAACCTTATTTGTTGTTGAAGGTTTTTCATACATGTCTGGTAGCACCTTGATCAATTCACGAGTAGTCGTCATACTGAAAATGTTGTAATCTACAATCTCACCACACCAATCCCCCGATATAACAAACCCCAATCCTCCCTCTTCCGATATAACAAACCCCAATCCTCCCGCTTCATTTCTTCAAGTTTAATTTCAAACAACGGTTCATGTAAATTCTTCTGGTAGAGGTAATCTCCAATTTGCATTTTCCATAAACCGAAATCCTTTCCATCGAATTTGTCGATCTTAACTCACCTATATTCAACCATAGCTCTGATACAAGTTTGTTTTTTAAACCATACGCCGAAGCCGATCCAACTTATGGTTTTTTATTTTCTATTTATTACGACCAATTGCGTGATTTCATTTTAGTTTGAATTTATGTGCTTTTTATTGCTTTTCACCTAAAAAGATCATGTCGTGAGGAATGAAGGTTGCATAATTGGTAGCATGATGGTGGAGAGTGGTGTTTTGGGAAGAAGGTGATGGCCGAAGCTGAAGCCATATTCAAGAGAAAGTGGAGGGGTGGTGGTGAAGAGTAGGTGTGTGTAAGTTTATGTGTTCCTTTCTACAATCTTATTATCTCAATTTTATTAGAAAATGACATACCTAGCCATATCATCTTGAATTGATTACATTACATGGCATATGATACTCTTTATTCTAGGTTAAGATATACCAAATAAAGATATCAAAACCGACATTATGCCTTACAAAACTAGAAAAAAGTTTAGAGACTATTTCCTGCAATTAAAAACTTTGATGGGCTATACATTCAAATGAAATATTAAAACAAGAAAAATATACAAATCAATTAACATAAAATTGTAATATTTTTTGAAAATAAGAAAATAATTTGCAAAAAAACAAAAAAAAAAACCAAAATAATAAGTTATATTCTTAATGAAAGAGATTAATAATATTTTATTATACATATTTTTTAAGTAACAATATCAATCTAAGATATACATATCTTTATATTTAAAATGCACAATACAAGAAAATCTAGTTTGCATTAGAGATAATTAATCATTGTGATTATCAAAAAACTATATAAATATAAATAAATTAACAGTTATCGTATCATTCAATTTCATTGATACAGAAAAAACAAAACAAATCCGTAAAAATGAAAATAAACTAAAAAAATAATAATATTCATATCTTATAGAAAATATGATATATTATAGAAAAAAGTATTATATTTTGGTCATTTTTATATTTTAATCATTATAAATCAAAATACTAAATAAAACTATCAAAATGATCACAATAAAAAGTCGTCAATCTTTAGTTTAGTTGTTTTATTGAATACCTTTAATCCGTAACAACTTTTTATAATTCCCCTAAAATCATTAAACTTTTACCATTTTTTTTACAATTTTGGTTTGATAGGGGTGAAATCATAAAAATAACAAACTTTTATAGTTTTTCAATATATTATTCTGAAATATTCTATTATATTATCCAAATTTGTAAAATATTATATCTATTGTATATCACAAATAAACAAAGCTGTTATATTTCGTTGTAATTTCCTTCGAGTTTCTTTGGACTACATAGCTATCGTTACTTTCTCTTCACGTGATCGTCCATGAGTCCCAAACATAGCCCCCCACACTTTAAATAGGTTTCGTTTCATATTGTTATCGTTCCAATTCCAACCATTGTTTCACACAACATCTACCCCTCTCCTAGGGTTTGAATCTGTCTAACATAATTGCGCCATCGAAGGTAAACATCATTACCCTCAAAACCCTTTTTCTCGCGTTTTTGGTTTAGTACCTTCTTTTTATTCCACTTCTTTTGATCATCTTCCACTAGGGTTCACAATCTTTATCAACGATCGCCCTCCAAAGAATCAGAAAGTAAATTTCTTGCTTTTCGTATAGAAACTTCGTTATTGTTTTTCGAAATTACCAAGAATTTTGCATTATCTTCTATCATTTAACAATTTTATGTGTTATCGAATTTTGTATGGTGGAGTGAGGTTTCTTGTTGTCAAGAAAAGCTGAATTTATTGATTTGGAAACTCTGATCATTATTTTACGTTTTTCATTGATCGGCGTTCATCACTTCAAAATCGTGTTCTTATTTTCCAGGATTAGTTGACGCTGAACAATGGGATTCAATTCAGTCTATAAGGCATTGCAGGATGTCTTTCCACAGGTATGCGTTTCGTTAATCACTCTCTCTCTCTCTCACTCTCCGATATGGGTGTTTATTAAGTCAGTCGGTTTTTAGAACATATTATTTGATAACTAAGTATGAATATTTACGTTTTATTATAGTTTATATATGATTCTGGATTTAAATTCATATATATATATATATATATTCACATTTAGAATGCATATCCGAACGAACCCTAAATTTTCTTGAGCACCCTTATATCATAAAAATAATAATATGCGATGTACTACTTTTTTGCAGGTTGATTCTCGTTTATTGAGAGCTGTTGCGATTGAGCACCCTAAGGATGCTGATTTAGCTGTAGAAGTTGTTCTTGTTGATATCATCCCTCACCTGTCTGAACAATCGCAATCACCTTCAGTTAACTTTTCCAGTAAAGTTGAGAATACACCCAGTCTCTTTGAAGGTAATAAGAATTCTTGGAAGATCCACCTGTGAAGGGTTTTGCTTCTTTTCAGCATTATAATTTGTGTAAAGGATTTATTTTGAACTGTATTTTTTAATTTAGTTGTTGTAGATGGTGGCAAAACTGTTCAGCTTGAGGCAGCTATGGGTTCTGAACAATCATATCAAGCTGGTTCTTCCAGTACTGATGCAAATAGTGAAACTGCAAATGTTGGTAATGGTTTACCAGTACACTTGGAGAAAGGTGGAGACAAGAGTAATGTTGATGAAAGGGATCTTTATGTTAATCGTGATGAAGAATCTTTTGGTATCTTTGGTAAAAATGTTGCACTTTTGGTTGAGACCTTTGAAAATGATTCTAAAGTTACTGGTTATATTCAAAAACAATCTGGCTCTCGCTTTTCAAGCACCCCTGAACCTCATTTAGCTGTCACTCAAGAACAGGATCCTGGTAGTTCCTCAAAAACCCCATCTGAAAACAATGATTTTGTAAATGAAGAAAATACAGAGGGTGAATCCATGATGAACTCTTCCCTTACAAGATCTGACCAAATTTGTAGCACTGAGCTTCTCGAGGATATTCTTGAAGAAGCTAGGAATGAAAAGGTAACTAAATATTCATCTTATGCAACTTCATTAGTTTATTTGAGATGTTTTGCATCATGATCTGAGTTTGTTTACTTTGCAGAAAACCCTGGTGTCAACAATGGATTCAGTTGTTGAACTTATGAGAGAAGTTGAAGAAAAAGAAAAAACTGCTGAAGAAGCTAAAGAGGAAGCCACACGTGACTGCTCGCATATTTTTGCAAAGGTGGATGAACTAAAACAGGCACTTGGACGTGCAAAAGAAGCAAATGACATGGTTGGTTGTTGCTTGTTACCTTTTTATGTAAATTCAGTCTCATAATTACTAGCAATTTTGTATTTATAATTTTGTTTGTTTGCAGCATGCTGGAGAAGTGAATGCTGAGAAGGCCATTTTAGCAACTGAGTTGAAGGAGCTTCAGCTTCGCTTGTTAACTTTATCAGAGGAGAGAAACTACTCGCTTAGAATCCTTAACGAGGTAGTATATACTATAATTTGATTCATTTTTTTTTTTATCATATGAGGGTTTTAGATCACCGACTGTTTTCCTGTTTAGATGCGTGAGGCTCTAGAGATTCGGTTGTCTGTAGCTTTAAAAGAAATTGAGGCAGCAGAGGGACAAAAGCTGGAGAAAGAAAAATTTGCTAGAGAAGCACTCGCATACCAGGAAAGTCAATTGGAAAAGGTGGTTGAAGAGTCCCAGAAGCTGCAGAGAGAAGCAGAGGAGAATTCCAAGGTAACATGAACTTTTGGTCCTAGTTTTCAAAAATACCCTCAAAAAGAGCGTATTCATTGCAGATTATGATAAGTTTCTCTTTCTCTCTCTCTTTTTTAATGTTTCCAGTTGCAAGAATTTCTCATGGACCGGGGACGCGCAATTGATATCCTACAGTAAGGCTCTGTTTCTTTTGCATGAGTTTTAACAAATAAGAAAGAATATATTGGATATGAGAATAACATGCATTGGTTTTGCAGGGGAGAGATTTCTGTGAAATGCCAGGATGTGAGACTGCTGAAAGAGAAGTTTGACAAGAGAATCCCACTTTCTCGATCACTATCATCCAGTCAGACATCATCAGTTTTAGCTCCATCTTCATCTTTCACCACCACCAGAGTAGTAGTGGCTGAACCGGAGGCTGAGCTGTATGAAACCCCAAAAAAGAGCTTAGAGTTGGATGATCCTTATTCACCCAGGTCTCCTTGCTCTACACAAACTGTATTTCGTTTTGGAGCAGCTGAGAAACAGAGTAATGATGCTTGGAAGCTGCTTCTAAATGATGATGATTGGGAGCTGTTTGACAAAGGGGAATTGTCAACCGGTGCTGCATAGTGTTATTATACAATATACTTTTTTTGTCCCCAAATAACCAACCGCTTTCGTCTATCAACATTATAATCTATATACATATCGAACCGTAAATATCCTTCCTTTTTGTTTATAAGTTGCTTGCGATGGAATCTGAATGGTTTTTGGTTTGGGTATCTTTTTTTTGGTATATAGCACATTTTGCTGTTAATTTGCCTTTGTGAATGTTTAATATGTGGTCTAAGATTGTGTGTTTATGACATTTTGTGTTCAAGAGTCATCACGTGTTGCAGCCTATGTATGGTAGGTGTGTAACCTGGTCAAGCTAACTCATCAGATACTCAAAACCAACTCTGATATTTTAACAAGTTGAGTTCAAATATATGATTACCAAGCTCGTATGGGCTTTCTGAGCTTGATTGAGTTTGGTTATAGTTGCATTTTTACCTTTTATTTTTACCCAAATTTACATAATCCAACTGGGTTGATTCGAGGTTCTGTAGTTTAATTCATATATATATATATTTTTTCAATAACCAACTAAGTCGAGTTGAGCCCAAAAGTGTGAATAGTTTATCAAGCTCGGATAGGATTGAAATTTAAGCTCCAGTTAAATTTTGAGCTCAGGTTTTTAATTGAGTTGAGTTTTGAGTTTGGTAGTATTCGATTTGGTAATTATAACCTTAGTCAAAAGGTGTTTGTAAGTAGATGTATTTAGGGGATTTTGTGTTATTTTGAGGCATTTTAGAGTTTTATTGGATAGGTGCGAATTTCAAATGCGCGGATCTATCAACCAAAGATAAAATTTCAAAATTAGTCTCTCATATAAAGTCTTTTACTTTAAGGACAATGGTATCCTCTCAACCATAGCAAATTGCATCGACAAATCAACATTAGGGTTTGTCAATACGAATTATAAATCTTTTTAGCAAAGAAGTTTACATAATATGCAAAGCAACATAAAAAACATTTTTTTAATAGGAATTGTAAATACTTTCAGCAAAGAACTGTTTCCTTACAAAAAATGTTTCACCACACAAGGGTCAATATCTGCATTAATTTCCATATCCTTGAAATTATGTTGAAACAACCAAAAACAAGCGCTACAAAACTCAACATTTCATAACTACAAATCACCCAACGTATTCCTATATCACTACTACCATCACATGTCTTTCTTACATTGGCTATAAATTCTGGTGTACATACCAATAATACCCTTTCTTCAGCTACATTTCACTCTGCATTCAGTGCTTTCTGAATATCTCCCTGCAACATCAACATTCAACAAAGTTAAGTTTAATAATGAACTCACTCCATGGGATGCATGATGCATGGGAATAATATATTATTACCTGAATGGATAATGGTGAAGTAGTTGGCCCATAACGACCTATGACTCTGCCTTCTTTATCCACTAGAAACTTGGTGAAGTTCCATTTGATTCTTGACCCAAGAAATCCTCCTTTATTTGCCTTCAGAAACTTGTACACAGGTGCTGCTTTTGGTCCATTAACACGAATCTTCAACAAAGAAACAACTGATAATTAGTTCAAACTTCAAACTTTCAGTTTATTCATGTGAAATGTGTCATTTAGGGTTTCAAAAAACAAACATTTTTTTTTTGTAAGGATGACTGAAAACTCACCTTCTGGAAGATGGGATATGTGGCGTTAAACCTTGTGCATGCAAATTCTTCTACTTTCTCGCTAGAATCTGGCTCTTGTTTCAGGAACTGATTGCAAGGAAATGCCAAGATCTCCAGACCTGATCATAATATGTAGTAACACATACTTTATATTTTCATTCTATTCTAGCTCACAAATTAATATATTGTTGTTATCAACTTATGATATGAATGCAAAACAATTTGTGACACTATCATTTGTTTTTCGAGATTTGGAATCAGACCCCAATGAGAAATGATCAGACAAGATCCATTGAGCTAGATAGATAGCGATCTATGATTATTATTTAGAGGGAAGAATAAGATAAGTGGATGTAGAATATAATATTGTATTAAAAAAATTGACTAATCAGATAAATATTAAATTAGGTATCTATTCTTTGAAGTTTCAACTAATCAACTGATTGTCTGTTTATCTAATAGTATCGATTATTCACTTCACTTTAAACCTTAAATCCTCGCATCCAAACAGCGTTCTCTTCTGGTTGTGATAATCAATTTGAAGACAATGATACATCCAGTCTTGTAAAGGGTACAAAAGCATACCTTTAGCTCTATACTTTTCGTAAAGCTCCGTCAATTTTGGGTAGTTTGAGTTTGTAAATCCACTGTTTCAATCCAAACAAATTAGCCAGCAGTTAGAACACGAAGAACACGCGCAAGCGATTGGAAATTATACAGAAATTTTAAGAGATCAAGGAGTGGTAGAGATAGAAAGTAGAATCAACCATTTAGAAGCAACATTAACAACAAGAACAACTTTCCCTTTGTAGATGCTAAGATCCACATCCTTCCCTTTGCTATCCTGCATCGTTTGCTCAGAGGTTAAATCAAACAAACAAAACCCCATTCCAAATAAAATAATATCGATGTATGTTTGTGATTATGAATAAGAAAAATTGAAGACAACCTTGACTGTAAACTGATGAAACGAATGTTCAGGAACAGATGAAGCAGCACCCATTAGTGTTCAATCGAAGCTTTAGGTTTAGGAAGTTTTATGAGAGGAGGAGGAGGAGGAGCACCACCAACAGCGCCGCCGTGAAACAGGGGAGGATGTTCCCTTTGGATTAAGTTATATTAGATGGCATGAAATGGAATTGAACTAGAAGTTGTTGGAGCGCCAGCAAATGTCATATGGTATTGATTGCATCAATTGACTTTGTTCTTTTGTGCCAATCAAAATATCAAATGCTTCGTCAATAAGTCTCTACTTCTTCCGCCTTTTAAAAAAAAAAAAAAAAAAAAAAAAAGTTGTCGTCTTGTTTTTATTTTTGGTTATTGCCGATTCGCCGTTCCCTATGTCCTCATTAGTCAATATTCACATGATGGACTTCACTCAAAAAATATATATATATAAATCGCTACATAAACTATCTCATCGGAAAACGTTATACTTAAAAAAAAACAAAAAATAGCTTTCAATAAATTAAATGGGTCAAAGTAAATATTATTTTATCTTTTTCTCACTAATATAAACAATCCAACGTTTTTTACTTTTATCTCAACCGACACAAGTTTACTCGTTCTTTAGTAATTTACAAAGATCATAATTTTTGACTACTCAGTTTTCGTTGAATGTTTTATTAGCGCATGAAGGTCTATATATATTTAAGCTACCTCTTCTGTTTGCTTTTAAAAATTCTACAAGGCTAAAGCTAAAGCTCCAGCTTTTTAGAAATGTTCAAAAAGGCAACTTATTTTTCCTAAATCAAAGTTGATCTTTATCACCAAAAGAGAACTTTTTCATATGACAGTTTTTTTTTTCTTCAAAAGTAGTAAAATGTAACAATTTTATAATGAGATGTCACGACTCACGACTTAATATTAGATACTACAGTTATACATATAAAACTGGGTAACATGTAACTAAAAAGAAAAAAAAAATTGAAAGATCAGTTTATCTATTACTTCCGAAGCTATACTACTATAAATCTACCAAGCCAATTTTATGGCAAGATCCAAAAGGGCCTCAACTTGGCGAATCACCTTTCCCTTTTCTTGTTCTTTTAATCTCTTTGCAACAGATTCTGGATCAAGAGCTTCAAGTTTTGATCCTCCTCCGGTTTTTTCCACAGGCCTAACTTCTTTAAGCAACGTGTCCACCTCACGTATAAAATCTATACGTAACAGAAGATCATCTGCCTCCATTGCTGGTCTAACCAGAGGACCATGGTGCTGATGCAATAAATAAATAAATAAATAATAAAAAACATAAGAAACAAAATATTATGTAACGAGTCAAAACGGGTCTGGTTGACCTGTATAACACTTTTTCACTTACGTAAATAATTAATATATTAAACACGATCACAAGAAGTATCACATGAAACTTTTCATTTGAAACCGACAAATATAATGTTGACGTAAATGGGTGGTTAAAACAAAAATATGAAACTTTGGTTTGTACCTTGTCAAGATCAAACCCTGTGGGGACCAATAGGCTGAAGGGATCTTCTCGTGGGAAGGTTTCGATCATGCGTTTTTTACATGCTTTAAGCCACCCTTCTTCATCGTATTCATCATGTATCATTAAAAGATCATTCAGCAGTCTCATGGCTGGAGTAGCTTGCCTCTTCAAGATCTCTGTCTGAAATGCAACAAATAGAAACCTACTTTCATTTATTTGTTTATTATTATAACATCCTACTTTCAACATCTTTCTATTATACCATTGAAATATATACCCAATTATAGCATTCTACTCATGAAAATTGCTTTGTATATGGACGAAATTCTTATAGCTGGATAAATTTTTCAAAGTACAATGCTATATTAGGAAGAAAGGGAATAAACAAACAAATGAAAGTAGGTTTGCTATTTCTTGCATTAAACCCTAGAGAATGTATGAATTAATAAGGCGACAGAGCAACAAAAAGAATACCTCGACACGCCTGTATAACAGATCTAGACTTCTTATCGCATCTTTTTCTTCCTGGAAAATTGCAAGAACGATTTTTTTTTTTTTCAAATAGTTTAAAAAAGTTTTAAACACAATTACAAAAAATGAAAGATATTGAAAATATACATCACGTCGAGCAAGATCAAGACGAGTCCAGATCACCAGAAGAACAAGTTCATTCAGTTCACCTTTCTCAGCAGCTTCCTCAATTTTCTGTCAACAAGAAAAGTCATTACCTTTATAGTTTATATTAACAACACATACCAATTTCCCCTGGTGTATGATTCAATTTTACAAACTTTTCATGATATGAACAAAAAAAAAAAGCATACAACTTTTTACATATTCTAAGATAACACCGGATTTATCTCTATAATTTTTATCCATTTGACCTCTCATAATAATTAAAAAATATCATTCAAATTGATCCATTTTCACATAAATGTCTACTCACAATAATCACTTTGAAAACACACATTTTTAGATCATATATTCTTTTACATGAAGAAAACAGGGAAGTTTAGGAGACATAAATCCTGAATTGATAGCAAACAATTACCTCTTCGATCTCTTCAGCAGATTTGATGAAACTGGAAACCAATTTCTTTGCCCTAAAAACATCTTCTTGAGGAAAATTCTTCAAGTGCATGCCAACTTCTCTATACTCATCAACTATTCTTTCCTCTTCTTCATCTTCCTCTTGGCGCAATCTTTCCAACTCTTTAGTCTTCTCTCGCTGACGTGCTTGCCATTCCTAAAACCACACACCAAATATGACCATTTTGCCCTTCCTTTTACTTCATAATTACATTTGTACTAAAAGGGATTACAGTGATTATTATGACTTTACGATAATCATGTGGCCAATTTCAAGAATATTAACAGACAAGAGACCTTCTTGCTATAACCCCAGATAAAGTTGTAAGAAATAACCTATTAAAGATAAGCTTTGTTGGCGAATTTCACGAAATACCCTTTTCAAAAATGCTAAAAGGCGATAGAAGAACATGATGAATCAAGTAGTAGAGTTCCAAAAGAAGCAATATGGCTAGTTATTAAACAGAACCCTTACATGTGCGAATTTCAAGAATTAACAATCATGAAACCTTCTAGCTATAACCCCGGATAAGAAGTGCAAAGAATACCTTTTCAGAAATGCTAAGAAGAACATCAAGTATCAAGTAGTAAAAGAAGCAAATTGGCTTACTTCATCGTGGAATTCTTTAGGGAGGCCAGCTAAGACTTCATCTTCTAGCTTCTTGCTCCTACACAGAACTGGAAACAAAACCCTATTAACCAAAGGAAGATAGATGAGCACGAAAATGTTAAAAGATTATCGAGCGTCAAACAGAAATACTGACATGGGCGTTCGTTGGAAAGAGAAAGATTTAAAGAAGTAGGGAATGTCGACAAGGCTGTAATGGAGGTGGGAGGGAGGACCGATAGCCCGAAGACTCGTGCCTGCATATTTTCCGGGGTACTCAATTTAAAGTTTAAACTGCTGAGTGCTGATTACGAGTTTCCTTGTTTATGTACTCCCTCTCCATCCCTACCAACACAAAATAAATAAATAAATAACAATTAAATTAAATTAAATTGAGTATATTAGTGAAATCATTCCTATAATCAAAATTACATATTTGGTCTCTAATTTTTTTTTATACACTTGGATTGTCTTTACGATTTAATTTTGTTGCGTTTTCCGTTCCTATGGTTTGGTCAAAATTATCTGTTTAATCCCAAATTTGATGTGTGTAAAGGACGAAAAACACAAAAAAAATCAAACCAAAATGCCGATCCGAGTACAAAATAAAAATTAACGATCAAATATACAATGAACTTAAATTATTTATTTATAGAAATGAACTTACTCATGTCATGCAATGCTTATTGTGAATTTTTGTTTGTCTTCAAGACTTCAACCATATGTTATGTTCGATTGATTATGAATAAAACGCTCACGAAATTATTTACCGACGGGATCATAGTTTGCCTTTAATTATAACTTATAAGCTATGTTTCAATAATTAAACTAGTCATAAACTAGAATTTGAATTTGAATTTGAATTTGAATTTACTTATTTGTTTTTGCTTTACATCTTGGGTCAAGTGTAAAACACGTGTATTACACAGGTTGATTAAAGAAAATAAAATATAAAAATGTAAATAATAAATATTTTTTAAAATAAAATTTTGAAATAAGGATTGAAGAAACATATTAATTGCAATTTATTATAATATTTATTACATTTGATACTTACATATATAAAAGTACTAGGTGTAAGACTCATGTTTAATTAAAAAAATTAAATATAAATATCTAAATATTTAAGAATTTTGGATTTATAAAAAAATAATAATAACCATAATGAATTATTAAAATTGATTTTTTTATCTTTTAAATTTAAGTAAATAAACTAATGAACTTTAATTTAGGTATTTTAAAATAAGAATGTAAGTCCATTAATGAAATTTATATTCATTTATTATTACATTTATTGTAATTATTACATTAAAGTATTATGTGAAATTTATTAAAATAGAAAAACCCATAAAATGACGCATGGAAAAAAAAATTAATTCAAAATAACCACAAAATGACATTTTGCAAATTAAATAAGATTGTGAGATATGACAAAAAAAATCTTCGTTTATTAGAGTAGATAAGATTATGTGGCTTTTTAATTTTAAAATTTGAAATAACCATAAACTGACATATGGATATTATTTATTTAAAAAATATCACAAAATAACAAGTGTTAAAACTAATTAGAAATTGATATGTGATAGAAAAACTTTCATTTAGTAGAGAGGATTAGGTCACCAACATGTTACGTTAGTGTGCATATCTCCACATGCTCTCACTTGAACACGTCACAAAATCTCTATGGTCGTACTTACAACATTACATTCCCGACAACTGTTAAGATCTTCTAAACCCTTGGCTCGATGTATCCCCAGATAAATAACAACATATCATTTGTTCTTTATATATGAGTGAACGAGAAATATGAAATTTTCATCTAGCTCTTATGTTCAAGATTATATTTCTCAATACAAATTTGTGGTGACTCAAGAACACACTGCATAATTGAATGTCAATCATATTTGAGTGTAGTTGTTAGCTCGCAATCAATGAGTGGATTGTGATATTAATATTATCAGTGGTCAGAATGAAAAATTCAACTTTGACAACATACAACCTTACCTCTAAAATCATGTCATACTTGAAGGGTATTCTGTATAGCTACCGGTTACAATTACATAGACAATATTGGAGGACGTCAAGACACAAGATGCTAAAGTCGAGTCCTATGTATCTCTGTTTCAAGGACATAAAATATTATCATCTTAGAATTATTTGTGAGTAATATTCCATGAAGTGATACCTTAAGTATGAGTTACTCCCGTACCCATAGGTAGATCTAGGTGGTTCGTAAGGTAGCCCAAGATGAACATAAATAAATTTCAGTAGTGTAACTTTTTTCAAAAAAAATTTCAGTAGTGATTTTTTTTTTCGGAAAAATTTTAGGATATCCTTTTACTTTAATCGTGTCCGTACTTCACAAAATATCAAGTACATGTTGATACTAGTTGCATCACTATGTCATATCCATAACTACGGATAATCTTTTAACACCTCACAACTACAACAGTCTTAATTCATTGCTTTCTTTCTTAAAATATGATCGACTATGGAGATTCTGAAATTTTTATTTCAAGGAATTATAAAATATGATAATTAAAATATATAGATGGATCAATGATAATAATTGCTCGCTAGCATATATTAAGATCATCACTTAATAATCCTTACATCATTTCGCGGATGGAATGAGAGTAAATTGCAGATGGGGCTATTCCATCTGCGATTTTACCCTACATTTTCAATATATATACTGAAGAAAAAAAAACCACCTGCGAATGTACAAGCTGCTAAAACACAGTTGTGCTTTAGCAGCTTGTACATTCGTAGATGGAATGGTCATTTCGCAAATGGGGCAATTCCATCTGCCAAATTGAGGGCTATTTTTACAATTTCAATTTTTTTTTTGACTATTTTTGTAATGTAATTAGTATAATTGGCTAATTTTATCATTTTCTCAAAAATCAATATTTATGTACTTATGGTCGAATTAACATATATTCCAAATTATTCGAGCCTTCAAATCAAGCTCATTTTTTCTTTGAGTACTCATCAACCTACAATCAAGTTTGAGCCAACTTGGTTCATCTTGTTAGCATCATTGCTTGCAACTTTTAGATGGTGGCCATATAAAACTTTTAACTGATGATAAAAAATATCACATATCTATTAATATACTAGTTTATAATCCGTGCAATAAATAAATTTTCATAGTAAAAATTCATAAATTATTTATCAATTACTTTAAATAAATTATTAATTATAAAATATATCAAAATTTTAAAGTTATTATAACTTCAAATTTAAAATATAATTAGAAAAAATAAATTTGAATTTTAAAGGGTTGCCTAATAATATATATCTTTAACATGTAACATGATATTAATGAGGAATTGTATTAGAATGACACATGTCAAATAGAGATTAAAACTATTCATTTATTATTATAAGAAGATAAGAAGTTAATATATATATATATATATATATATATATATATATATATATATATATATATATATATATATATTAAAAGAAAATAAGTATAAAGTATGTACAAAAATGGATCCTACAATGACACCGAAGATTCTATGATAAAATCCACAGCTGCACCCATCGCACGGACCCCACCAATCCGGAGCAACGCCATCGCCAACTCTTCCTCATCCCACTTCCTTAGCCCTTTACTCAAACTCCTCAAAACATCCACATCAACCTCACGAGTCCATATAGGCGTACACGAAACCATCAAACTCACAAAACCAGAAACATACGCCCTCCATGTCGCTTTATTACAGCCAAGTGAAATCTTCCCATCGAGTGCACTCGCCATGAACTCCAAGTGGGCCCCAAGGATGGACCCACGTTTACTAGACGCCGAAGACACCGAGTCAACACCCCACGCAAACGCACCCGAAAGAATCATGAAGTAAGCAAGAGCGTAACCTTTAAGCATCCCAATCATCCCGCCTGCACCCGAGTCACCCTTGGTGTGGTCCAATCGGTGCACCGATATGAACCATGATGGCATTGTTTCTTTGATCAAAGTTTGTATTAGGTTCAACCCACCGGTTATCCAAACCAGCGAAGCTCCTAGAGACGCGGCTAGCTTGATACGAGTCATGGTTGCGGAAAGAGAAGCCTCGCCATATCTCAAGATCATTCCGGTTTTAGGGTTTTTAAGTTTTTCAATCGGGACACCGGTGGAGACGATGTCTTTAACCGAATGCATTAACAGAGAGACGATTTCTTCGGTCATGAACATCACGTCTCGAACACTACGGTGCACCCGTAAGTATAGTATTCCGGGGGCCACCGGAGCGATCCCGCCGGAAAAGTCGGATCCAAATCCGTGACCGAGGAGGTTACCGATTCCACCACCGGTGTTTGAGGAGTTTAGACCGAGGGTTGATGCGAAGCAGACTTTAAGAAGCTCTACTACAGCGTCAGTGTTGTGGTGGAATACGGTTCGGGATGCTGAGAAAACAAGATAATCGGTCCAACGTTTGGCTTTTTGAGTCCATAGAGCGGCTATGATGGCCATGCATGGCCATGGACAACCTGCACCCAGAGTGTTCAATGCCGGGCCCGCTAGGTTCAGTACGGATTCGGAGATTCTATCGACTTTGTAGGTTATTGTGAGGCTCACTAGGGCGGCCAGAGGTAAAGGAAGGGTATCCGGATGTGTCCCCCCTGCTACACAATTGAAAGAATATAAAAATTCTACAGGAAGGGTATAATGGTAAAACGGTTAGCTAATAGCTACAACTAAAACATACCTACAGAAAGACTTGGAACGTCAACTCCGGTTGCAGCTAATATCTTATTTATGTTTTGTTCGACCATGGATAAGTTAGTGGCAGGACTTGGCCAATCGGTTCCGTTCATAGATGCAGGTTTCCAGAGTCCCCTTGTGGTTTCAGCCGAAAGGTAACTCACGATAGTTGCCATAGAAGCAGGAAAAAAGTCAGCAAGATCTTTGAACCCTGAGGCAAACGGAATAATCAATATTAAATTTATATTACAAAAGACGTAAATGACCTCGTCATGGAAACTAAGTAACTAACCGGTGGTGAGTTCTCGTGGAGAGAGTGTTCCATGGGCGCATGCGGTCAGTGCAGCGTCAAGCACAAAAGGGACTGCTTCTAGAATGTCCCAAGCAGGGAGTTTAAGATGAAGAGTGTAGTCATCAGACGAATTGCTACTTCCAGATGTTGAAGAAGTCAACGTTTGACCACCACCACCACCTGTATTTGTATTTGTTTTTCTAAACATCATGTTTAGAAGGGCTTCAAAGATTTGGTACACTGAAGTTCCAGGTTTGAGATCAGAAAGGGTGGAAGCGATACACGCTTGATGCTGTCGATACCAAAATTTCAATTTTGGAAAAGAGTCTAAATATACAGGAGTTGAAGCAGACAGATCACACTGCTTAAGAAACCTCATTCTTTTCTTTTGGTGTTTGGATGAATTCCTACATGATGATAATTGAGAATTGCGTGCCAATAAGAGGAACTCTGGTGTTAGCTGAGACCCTACCGGAGTAATATCCCCAATCGCATGCTCGAGAGGTGGTTGTTCAAATCTCCATAGCTTTAACAGAAGAGTAAAAGCATTCGAGAACACACCAAGGGGGCATAAAAGGTCACCAGTTGGAAGAGTCCAAGAAACAGTGGGTGAACATGAACCCAAAGCCTCACATATTGGCATCAAAACACCAGCAAGATGTGGAACCTGAAACAAACATATAGATAAAACATATTGATCTTCTGTACATAAATTTTGTATAAATTATAAAAAGCGAAAACAAACTGTAAGTTACTGTTTACCTACCAATCCATGTAAGGAAAAAATCTGAACACAGTCGATAGATGCTATCCCCACAAGAAGAACATTTAGAAAGGGAGCAGAAGCTATTAAATGACTCTCACTACCAGTATAATCTGAGGGAACCGGAGGTGACAGCAGCTTAATGATGAAAAATCCAGTATGTTCCTGCAAATACAACCCATAAATGAGCAACTGGATGATTCAAAATATATTAATAAGCAAAACTGCAAAACTCACTTGTATATTCCAACCACGAGTTAATGATGCCCCACATAAAACAGTAGCAGCAGAAATCTTCTCATTATCGGAACCATCGGTTGCAATTTCATATATTTTCTCAATTTCAGCTAAGCTTCCATTAAATTCAAGGGCTTGAATTCAGTTCAAAAAGAATTACACAGATAATAATGTTGAGATTTATATGAAAGAAATTTTTTGTCCCACACTCGTAGAGGGTAAAAGAGTGGAGTGGTGTCAAAAATTCCCCTATCAAACACACTTTAAGTATTTACTTTTTTTTTTCTCTTGTTTTGTTGAAAAATGTGGTTGGGGGATTGGCTTGAGAGATTTTGTCTATGAGATTGTAATAATTTGTCATATAGTGAAATTTTCTCTCTAGATGTGTGGTTTTTCTCCGGTTTTGGAGTTTCTCGTGTACATACTTGTATTCAATTTTAGTTAGTGGGAATCTTTGGGACCATTTTCCTAACAAATACAACATGTGATTCATACCTAGAAGCCGGAGTTGAAACCAAAGCATGTATCATTGGAGGAGTCAAAGGGGACCCCTTCATCAATGATGACCAGCCAAGCATCTGGCCAGCAATGCTGTGAGGTATTTGGTTGGCATGTCCCTTGACATAACCAGGCCATAGGTATGCTGATGTGTCTAGAAGATGCCTTGCAATACAAGCCTCCACAATCAGATGTCTCAGGTCTCCAGCTGCAAACAACAAAAAAGCAGCTGATTGATGAATGTATGTTCAAACAAACATAAAATGAAAGAGATTTACGCACAACAAGTGAGAGATGTGTCATTCAAGCATTGATTTGCTAGACCCGAAAAAAACATAATGGCTTTAGCAGCTGCCTGATTTGCTAAAGAGGTTACAGATGATGGTGGGTCCAACAAGCCTTCATAATCACCCAACTGTTGTAAGCTGGAAACAAGACTCTTCCTACACTTCCCAACAACTTGTGTTTCACTTCGCATATGCACGTCTTCCTCAACGAGACTGTTTTCTTCTTCATCAACAATATTGACAATTGCAATGGTGGTTGTGCATAGTAGTAAGCATAAACATGTATCCATACGTGGTATCGGGCCCTCAAGAGCATCTCGCTCCTATTAAAACCCAAGTGTTAAAGATCCATCACCTACTTTAATATTAATCTGGACAACTTTTATATATATATTCACGATTTTACCCTTTGAACAAGCCGTAAAGCTGCAATCCACAAACCAAGAAATGCTTCCTGCCAAGAAGCTTGAGTAATTGCTTGATAGGCTTTCAGTAGACCTATAATAAAATTTGATTTGTTTATGATAAACTATAGATAAAATTCAAAAGCATCATCATCATATCAAAGTCGATTGAATACCAGAAAGAGTTTCGGCTGCACTTGTGGTAGCCACCACAAATCCCTCCATGGTGTCTTCAAGGAACAGATCAATTGGAAGCCAAAAAGACGAGCGACTAGCACCATGAGTTGGAGCTGTAGATGATACAAGCGATCCGGAAGCCATTACTGCATGGAACTGTTGCAAAGATACTGTTTTGCATTCTGGTGACATGATTACATGGTTATCAGATGTTAGCTGCAAAAGAGACTCAGGAGTAATATCTTTGGAATTTCTCAAAGATATTGAGTTTGCTATCAGTAGTCGCAAATTATAAATTAAAGATCTCCAGTGTACAGGCCTAAAAATGGAAAATAGTAAAGCGGAATTAGCACCGGATCTTTAAATAAATATATGATAAAATATATATATATATATATATATACATATATATATATATATATATATATATATATATATATATAAGCCTCAGTGCTCACATATTTTGACGTGCCAAAGACAGGATCCTGGAAGTTAATTTATTTCGGTAAAGTTCTCCAATGATTTCAATGGCCAATGTGGTGTTTGTTCTATACAATCTGTCATAGTGATCAATTTTCTTTTCTCCGATATTATGATCATCAATTTCCATCTCTTGTGGTTTCATTGGCCAAGTAGACCTCTTTTCAGGTACAAGTTCCAACAAGTCTTCATCATCTATTGATGCATCAAGCAACTGCCACACTATTGCAAATACAAATTCAACTAGGAGAATCCCAGGTTCACTAGATGGAATGCCAAATCTTTGGGAGAGGTGAAGAGCATTGTCTATTGATTCCATGATTCTGCAATTAAAGTATTAAGATATGTCCAAGTAAACTCGATGCAAGTCTTCAAATGAAAAACCTTACTTCTGGTACTTTGGACCATTAACTTCAGAAGCCAAAGAAAAAATGTGTCTTTTAAGGAGCTCCAGAAAGATCCTGTATGCAGCAGGTTGGCTTCTTCTATTCGGGATTACACTACAACAATTCAACAAATTGAATTGAGTTAAATGAAGATTAACCAAAAAGGAAAAAAATTTACAACTTCCTACTCAATATTATCTAGAGAAAAATTGTTAAACATTACACCTAATCAAGTTCCTACTCAATATTCCTGTCACTATAACTTTCTGATTCTTGTAACTTAAGAAAGCATTTTGGAAATATAACTAGATTGATCATACCAGATGTCAATGGTTAGTCATATACTACTTGTCATAGGATTATTCATCCTTAAAATACACTCATAACTAGATTTCATTCATCAAAACCACCAATTTCTGTAGCAAACTGCTAAATATGTCTCTTTAAGTTTTCTAGCTCTAGTTTTGCTTAAATTTTCGTTTTATTATAGCTTTAATGGAAGCTTTAGCTAAGGATCTGTAGCTACTTGTAGCGTCAATACCATTGAGTACCAATCCATGTTCCGGTGGACTGTTCATACTTATACACCATCTGATACATCACTGTTCATACTCATACTCCAAAACAGTTAGATTGCATAGATTTAAATAAAAACCTGTTGGAAAGAAGCGCGAGAACGAGCATTGGCGGAGCAATTCTAAGGTTTAGCGCTTTTTCGAGATATTTCCAAGCAATTGGGAGATTATTAGACCAACAAATATGCGAAACGAGCAACTCGGCGACCTCCGTCGACGGCATGGTGGTTCCGGCAGACAACAGGCTAGAGGAGAGCTGAACACCCCAAATCAAGGGATCGGTACCCTTATTTTGAGCAGACTCCGTCATTTCCATCAACCCTTCCTTGAGACTCAAGTTCATCGTCGGTGTAGCAGTCGACGGCAGGGTCGCCGTCATTGTGATTTCAGTACCAGGGCCTATGATTTTTCACCAACCTCCATTTGAAAATGTGAAGAAAGTCTATGGAGTGGAAGAAGGGCAACGTCTATTTTGATAATTTGGGAGGCAAACGAATACTGAAACAGTATTCAGCGGCACCTGCAGTCAGCACAAATGGGCGGCGGGCAAGCACCTTTTTATTGACGCATCAAAAAATAGGGAAAATGAATCTCTGGAGAGTAATTAACTTTTGCGTTTGTACTTATTTGGTCCTTTTTTTTTTTTGTATTCAATATACCATTGAACTTGTTGTTGGTGTTTACCATAGCCCTTTTGACCGGTGATAGCCGGTCAAAGGGTTATGGTGAACACAAACAACAAGTTCGATAGTATATTGAGTACAAAAAAAGGAAATAGATCAAATGAGAACAAACGCAACAGTTGGTTACCCTCCTGATTCATTTTCCCTTCACTCATTTACAACAAATCTCACATCATCTCCTACTGATATTAATGACTTTATGAGATTCATTTTTGCTTCTCTTCAAAACATAACCTACGAAAGGACATTATTCATACATGTACAACTTTGTAATGCACTTAAATATTTATTAGGGGAATCTTGACTAAGCAGGCGCATTTCATGACTACATTTACATTTTCAATCAAATGATTTATCGTATCATGGATTCTAGACAAGTCTACAAACAAGTGGAACCACAAGTGCTATGATTTTTGAGTTTACTTAGCTTTAAGATCGAACTCATGGGATAAGATGTTGGATAAGGTGTCTAAGTTCATAACTTATTTGGTATATACTTGATCCGACTCGGCATGGTCCATTTGGGTTGCACTTCACCTGAACTATTTATGGATAATTTTATGAGAGTTATACACATATGATTATTAATATATTATAAGTTATAATATATTAATATGAAGTCATGTTATTTAATTAGTCTTAGTCTTAAATTAATTATGAATTAATTTAGAGATTAAAAAGAAGACTAATTAGATTGTGGGCTATTGGTTTTATATGGTGTGGGCTAACACTCATTTGTTAATGGGCTAGGCTTGTATGAAAGTCCATGGATGATCCATGGAGCTTTTAACCCATGGATCCTTGGAAAAGGAAAGGTCATGGGTTATTAGGGTTTCACCCTAACCATGCACATTATATAAGCATGCTTATGTTGCATGAAATAGTCACTAGTGTGTGTGTTTGTGTGTGGATGAAATTATAGTGTGTATACACTCTCTCAAAGTTTTCCAAGTGTTTGTGGTGATTTGTGATTCCATTTGAGGCATTCACACTATTGGTGCTTGGCCCTCAAACTCCTTAAGAATCAAACTCATCAAAAATGTACGTAATCTCATCTAATTCTTTTATGTTTAAAAGTACCCCATGCCATGTTAGATAGGTTATGAACCTTGGAAAATTATTATTTTTCATGTATTTAGACAAACATAGATCCAAGGTTTATTAGGATTGCATGCACACTTAGGAAGTGTTAGATTGCTCAAAACCCAACATAAGATACAACATCAATATGTACAATATTATGGTGATGTGTCTACAAAAGCAGCATGATATTGTACATATTGATGTTGTATCTTATCCCATGAGTTCGATCTTAAAGCTAAGTAAACTCAAAAATCACAACACTTGTGATTCCACTCGTTTGTAGACTTATCTAGAATCCATGATACGATAAATCATTTGATTGCAAATGTAAATGTAGTCATGAAATGCGCCTACTTAGTCAAGATTCCCCTAATAAATATTCAAGTGCATTACAAAGTTGTACATGCATGAATAATGTCCTTTCGTGAGTTATGTTTTGAAGAGAAGCAAGAATGAATATCATAAAGTCATTAATATCAGTAGGAGATGATGTGAGATTTGTTGTAAATGAGTAAAGGGAAAATGAATCAGGAGGGTAACCAACTCTTGCGTTTGTTCTCATTTGGTCCATTTCCTTTTTTTTGTACTCAATATACCATCGAACTTGTTGTTTGTGTTCACCATAACCCTTTGACCGGCTATCACAGGTCAAAAGCCGGTCAAAAGGGCTATGATAAACACCAACAACAAGTTCGATGGTATATTGAATACAAAAAAAAGAAAAGTGACCAAATGAGTACAAACGCAAAAGTTAATTACCCTCAAGAGTCATTTTCCCCAAAAAATAATTATTTAACAATAAAGTGAATATAATGATAACTAATAAATAAAATCTTAAAATTTTGTTTTCTTTTGATAATTTTTTTAAAGATTTCAACCGGTAACAAACTAATTTGGAATTATTTCATAAACTAATTCAAAATATTAAGATTTTTTTAAAAAAAAATTATGATTTTTCTGTTATTATTATTATATTACAAATATAAATAAATATATTATTTTTTAAATTGGTTATTATTAATATTGTTAATAATACATATATGAAGGTGGAAGAGATGGTGATTTTATAAGCATTAAAATCATATATGTTTGTGTATTCTCATTTTATATATGATCATTTCATATTTATTATTATTATTATTTCAATTCAAAATATTTATTATTATTATTATTATTATTATTATTATTATATATATGTATATATATATATATATATATATATATATATATATATATATATATATATATATATATATATATATATATATATATATATATATATTATTGTATATTTGACTGTTTAGGAAAACTTATGTTTCAACTTTGATTATTTAAAATTTTATTGTAGCCTTTATTTGACTACTTTCTAAATAATATTAACTTAAACTTTACATGTTATGAACATGTCGAAATAAAATAACAGAAAATTATACTTTTGAAATTAAATTACAGTTGTAGTAGTTAACATCTCAAAACTTTCAAATTTGACATTGAATAAGAAGGGCAAGAACAATTACAAATCTTTAACATATAAAATTAAAAATGTAGACGTCACTAAAAATAATTACATTGAAACAGTGAAACTTACTTTAAAATTCAATTTATTATTTATATCTTGTAATGTGCCTATTTATTTAGCGTAATCCTACTTAATAAAAGAATTTCGTCAATTAGAATGAAGGTAAAGGTTTTCAACTAATTTAAGTTCCGTCTTTATTTGGCGTCAATTATAAATCAAACTTGAAATATATAACAAGTCTGAGTTTGAAGTTTGTGACAATACACTCTTGTAGAGTTGCAGTTGTGGTAGAATGTTTGTCCATTTGCTTAATTTAGCCATTACATAAACTATGTCACAATTTCTGATGGATGATTTCCTTCTTCGCTTCATGATCTTTGTGTTAACGATGATCTTCGTGTTGACGATCCAATTGTCCGAAATACCAAAATTCTTGTTGCACAATACAATATATGATGCGCATGAAACTATTTACTTAAATAATAAATATTAATTAGATAATAACGACATATAACATGGACTAAAAATTTTGGGCCATTGTGAAATGGGCGATGTATGTTCATTCATGTTGTCCACCATTTGAATCGGATCAGAGTTTGTAAATATATTACTTGAATAAAAACAGTATGTATGTGTTAATAGTTTTGGATCGAACCTACCTTTTACTAAACATGGTGCCAATAAATATTTTTAAAGCAATTTGAGGTTTGAATTCAAACCATAGTATTACCTTCTTTTTCCATCAATATACCCTCTTTTCACATGTCAAATGTTGCAAATCGTAAAGGCCTAATTATCAAGAACTTCTAGAAGAAATCATATAAAGCCACAATTTTAGCAAATCTTGGAGGAGTTATAAAGACCCAACTAGGCAACTACATACACGGTATTAATGATGAGAGAGTTAATTCAATTAAATTATAAAACTTGGTTGCTGTGTTGGTACAAATAAATAAATAATATATTAAAAGCTTGTAAAAACGTTGGTATTTATTCAGAATGTATTTGGTAGGAAAAGGTGAAAGTGATGTATGGTAGAGATCTCATGTGGCTTGTACAGATTTCTAAATAGAATAAGAGAAATTAAATTGTCTCCTACCTTTTACTCCTACAATTATTCCTACCCACTAAAATTATGACAAATCACCATTCAATTTAATTATATTTGATATATTCCTAATATAGTCTTAATGATTTAGTTTGAAAAATATGGAAAGATGACACTTGTCATAATTTTATTGGGTAGGCATAAAAAGTAGGAATCAATTTAATTTCTCATAGAATAAAGATCAACGATTTCAGTTTGCATTTCTTCAACATCGATCGTCACTAGTCATCCATGTCGCATCCCACGTTTACTTTTTTATTTTAGTTTACTGACCATAGCGAAAGAAAATGAAGAAAAGGAACTATCCCTAGACTATTCAATTTCAGACAGCTAACCACCACCATCTAACGCACCTCGTATTATAGTCCAACAAGCGTTCTCCATTGCTTCCCCTATTTTTTGAAACAAAAATCTCGGGTACAAAACTTGTTGTACACATGGAGTCATAACATAAATATTAAACATTTCATGAGAAAAAAAAAAAAGATAAATATGTTTTATTTTCATTTACCACTTTAATAATAAAAAAAAGTCAAAAATTAGCTAAATCACTAAAATAGCTATCAATTTCACATATAACATATTCAAAATTGGCAACGTAAAGATGAGGAATGACATCTATAAAATCATTTTATATCCATTAAAATTGTACTGGGAAATCTTTTTTTTTTCAAATGACATGCGAAAGAGATTACTCAAATGTCACGTGAGAAATTACAAATTTTCTGACAAAAAACTCTTTATTTACCTGTCATATATATTGTGAAATTTGTTATACATTTGGGCTTTTTGTTAAAAACCACGGTATAGAATTTCCGTGAGACATAAATTTCTCTAATTTATTAAATTTGTAAATTTCTCTAATTTATTAAATTTGTTCAAACTGAAAACTAGATTAGAAGACATAAATCATATCAATTGTTGTACATGTGTATTTTATAAATAGTGTTCCGACGAAATGGGATAATGCTTCAGTGAAAGAGGCTCGGGCTGTTTAATACATTGCAACAAATTAATCAATTATTGGTCGGAAGCGATCTAGCGGACAAACTGGTGAGAAACGATCTAGCTGAAGAGGAAAAGACTTCGATGAGAAGTAGTCTAGCAAAAGAGGTAGTAGCGGTCAAACATGTATTTTTATCTCTCAAAGTGTTCCTAAATATCCTCCTTT